GGGGGGGGGGGGGGGGGGGGGGGGGGGGGGGAGGTCAAGCAAAGACCGGTAGCTGCCCATGGCATTTTCCTGGGAACCCCGCATTATGTGAAGGACCGGTAGGTGGCTGTGGTCCTAAACAATTTTGAAATGGTGTGCGGGCCGTAGGTTCTTAAAATTCGAATCTGAAACGGCGCGGGCCAAGGTCTACAGCCTCCTGCCCAGCCCACCCACTTCGGCCCAGTTGGCCCTGTCACTGTTCTGGATCATTTTGTCCGACTCTGGACTCATTTCCGACCAGATTCAGAAACGGAGATGCTCTCTCTCTCTCTCTCTCACACACACACACACACACACACACACACACACACACACACACACACACACACACACATACACACAGAGAATAAGAGTCATTAACGCACGTCCCAGAAAATGAAACACACATTTGCCACACAATCACACACACACGCACTCAACTCCCTGTTGAGTCGGTGAAAACCCGACGAAACAGTCCAGCACTGTCTTCTTTTTTTTTCTTTTTTTTTTGGGTGAGAACAACCCGAGCTGATGCTACCCTCTTCACCCGAATAGACAAACTACAGGCCACGCACCCGTTCCCTCACGGTAAGTCAATAGCTGATCGCAATTACAGCCTGTACTGGATGCATCTGACTGCAATTACGTCCAGAGATGGATCAACGAAGTCCCAGCGCATGTATTTTCCCTCAGGACAGTACAAAATGCAGGATGGGGAAAATCAATACGAGCATTCAACTTAATTTTTTCGGGGGAAAAAAAGAAAACAACGCGCGGCTTCAACTGATGATGACCTAAAGCCTAAGGGCGAGGGGTTCAAACTTTAAACTTCAAATCCTGATCTATTCCATATAACACATGCCAGAAATCGTCGGATATCTATTCTTGGAAAGATGAGCTGTCCCACGCGCTTACCATGCCTGGATCCTGTTGAAGTAAGACATGTAAGTCTTGCATTTGTCTGGACCTTGCACACGGGCTCCTGCTCGTCTGCTGCATCACCACCCAGCTTTCGCATATCCCAGAGTTTTATGAAACCATCAGATGACGCAGAGCCGACAAAGAACGGCATAGACAAACCCCCATCTGCGGCGCACAGGGATCCTGACGCTCCAACCAGACCGACCCCGCGAATCCTGCATACATCGAACACAACACAAGTTTATCAATTCCAAGACTCTTTAAAACTTGAAGCCTCTTATAAACAGTGAAAAAGAGGAAGGAAA